CAATGTATATATGTCTATATATATATAATATGTGTAGACTAGAATTGAAAGGACCAGACGGTCCTTCGGTATATATATATACAGAAGACGAGAAGAAGAGAACACAGAAGTACAGACAATATAAAATGTCGATTAATGAATGCTTTGTGGGGCAGGAAGCGCACGTACTTGTGTTTATAGATGGCAGCTGAGGGAGGAGGGAGGTCGGCGAAGAAGCCTTGTTCAGCAGCTTCCCCTTCAGTCGACTCGTCAGACCCCGCTCCCTACTGGACGATGTTGCCATGGTGACGGCTACCGAGTGCGGAACCTGAATCTGAAAATGTGTCCGTAAACGCTCGAACTTTAGTAAACAGCTAGAATTAAACAATGGACCAGTGGTAAACAAGCATGAGTAAACAATCGACCGTGGTAAACAACCACAAGAAAACAATCGAACCATGGTAAAGAACCACGAGTAAACAACTACCCAGCAGTAACCACATGTGAATGTGAAAAACCAACTGATCGTCAAAAGCGGGAGGTAACCTGCAAAAATCGACATACCCCCTAAACCACGATTTTGATCACCACACCTCAGAGTAAACAATTAACCAGCAGTAAACAAGAGACCAGCAGTAAACAATTAACCAGCAGTAAACAATTAACCAGCAGTAAACAATTAAACAAAAGCAAACAAGAAACCAGCAGTAAACAAGAGAACAGCAGTAAACAAGAGACCAGCAGTAAACAATTAACCAGCAGTAAACAATTAACCAGCAGTAAACAATTAAACAAAAGTAAACAAGAAACCAGCAGTAAACAAGAGAACAGCAGTAAACAAGAGACCAGCAGTAAACAAGCGACGACCCACGCAGCCTCATCCGTCTCCGCGGCGACGAATGGCAGACAAGCGAGCGAAATCAACACTCACCTGGAATTCGTCGATGGCGTCCGCCGGCTCGGGAATGTCGATCTCCGACTCATCGTCATCGTCGTCGTCATCGTCGTCGACGCCCGCCAGCATCTCGTCGTCAAGGAACGCCGTCGTCACGGCAACGACGTCGAGCGACGGGTTCGTGCTCGTGATCGCCGCGGCGATGACGGGCGAGTGCAGCGGCGTGTCGAGGGTGGCAGCGCCGCGGCGCGTCGTGCTGATTCGCTCGTCGCTGACGGAGATGCGCGCCTGCTGCTGCTGCTGCTGCTTGGTGGGTCCGCGAGCGGCGGCCGCGTCGCTGGGACTGGCACTGCTGCGGTTCACCTCGAGGCCCTGAGGTGATGACTCACCCGTCAGCGTGTCCTGCAACATTAGACAGTACGGTAATTATGTAGAGGTTAACAACGTAGGAAATAACGAGGTGCATGTTAACGAGCGAACGCGGCAGGTCTTACCAAAGTAGAAGTTGTAACGAATGAAAAGATCGCGTTAAATAACACACGTAAACGAATTCGTCAGGTAAGAGAAGTTTCTCGGCTAGCTCCTTTGCTAGTTTCTCGGCTAGCTTCTTTGCTAGTTTCTCAGCTAGCTCCTTTGCTAGTTTCTCGGCTAGCTTCTTTGCTAGTTTCTCGGACTAGCTTCTTGCTAAGTTCTCAGACGTAAGTACTGCCTTTGTTTAGTTTCCTCAGCTAGTTTCTCTGCTAAGTTTTCTCAGGCTAAGCTCCTTTGCTAGTTTCTCGCTTAGATCCTTTGCGCTAGTTTCTCAGCTACTGCTTTGCTAGTTTCTCAGTCTAGCTCCTTTGCTAGTTTCTCAAGGCTAACTCCTTGCTAAGTTTTCATGCTAGGCTCCTTTTGCTAGTTTCTCTCGCTAGCTCACCTATTGCTAAGTTCTCTGCTAGCTCCTGTTGGCCTAGTTTCTCGACTAGCTCCATTGCTAGTTTTCTCAGCTAGTTCCTTTTGCTTAGTTTCGGCAGCTAGCTTCTTTGCTAGTTTCTCAGCTAGCTCTTTGCTAGTTCTCAGCTAGCTCCATTTGATAGTTTCTCAGCTAGCTCCTTTGCTAGTTTCTGCTGGCTAGCTCCTTTGCTAGTTTCTCAGCTAGTTTCTCCAGCTAGCTCCTTTGCTAGTTTTCTCAGCTAGCTCTTTGCTAGTTTCTCGCCTGAGCTCCATTGCTGAGTCTTCTCAGCTAACTCTTTGCTAGTTTCTTCCCCAGCTAACTCCATGCTACAGTTTCTCTGCCAGAAAGCCCCTCCTTGCTAGTTTCTCAAGCTAGCTCCTTTGCTAGTTTCTCAGCTAGCTCGCCCTTTGCTAGTTCTCAGCTACCTCTTTACTGTTTCTCCAGCTAAGCTCCATTTGCTAGTTCTCAGCAGCTCCAATTGCTAGTTTCTCGGCTCGCTCCTTTGCTAGTTTCTCACTAGCTTCTTCTTGGCTAGTTTTCTCAGCTAGCATCCTTTGGGCTAATTTCTCAGCTAGCTCCATTGCTAGTTCTGCAGCTAGCTCCTTTGCTAAGTTTCTTCACTTGCTCGCATTGCTAGTTTCCTCACGCTAAGCTCCTTTTGCTAGTCTCGAGCTACTTCTTGCTAGCTCCATTTGGCTAGTTTCTCAATCTAGCTCCTTTGCTAAGTTTCTGCTGGCTAGCTTCTTTGCTAGTTGCTCAGCTAAGCTTCTTGCTATTTCTCTAGCTAGCTTTCTATTGCTAGTTTCTCAGGCTAGCTTCCATTGCAGTTTCTCAGCTAGCTCCTTTGGCTAGTTTCTCAGCACTAGCTTCTTTGCTAGTTCTCACCTAGTTTCTCAGGCTAGCTCCTTTGCTAGTTTCTCAGCTAGATTCTTTTGCTAGTTTCTCAGCTAGCTTCTTTGCTAGTTTCTCAGGCTACTCGCTTTGCTAGTTTCTGCAGCTAAGTTCTTTGCTAGTTTTCTCAGCTAGCTTCCTTTGCTAGTTTCTCAGCTAGCTCCATTGCTAAGTTTCTGCAGGCTAGCTTCTTGGGCTAGTTTCTCTCAAGCTAGCTCCTTTGCTAGTTTTCCAGCTAGCTCGCTTTGCTAGTTTCTCAGCTAGCTCATTGCTAGTTTCTCGGCTAAGGCTTTCTTTGCTAGTTTCTCAGCTAGCTCTTTGCTAAGTTTCTCAGCTAGCTCCTTTGCTAGTTTCTCAGCTAAGCCTCCTTTGGCTAGTTTTCCAGCTAGCTTCATTTGCTAGCTCCTTTGGCTAGTTTCTCAGCTATCTTCTTTGCTAGTTCTCAGCTAGCTTCTTTGCAGTTTCTCAGCTAAAGCTCCTTTGCTAGTTTTCATCGGCTAGCTCCTTTGCTAGTTCCTCAGCTATCTTCTTTGCTGCTTCTTTTGCTAGTTTCTTTGCAGTTCTCAGCATAGCGTCCTTGCTAGTTCTCAGCTAAGCTCCATTGCTAGTTCTCAGGCTAGCTTCTTTGTTAGTTCTCAGCTAGCCTTCTTTGCTAGTTTCTCAGCTAGCTTCTTTGGCTAGTTCTCAGCTAGCTCCTTTGCTAGCTTTCTCGCTAGCTCCTTTGCAGTTTCTCAGTCTCAGGCTAGTCTTCTCGCTAGCTCGCTTTGCTAGTTTCTCTGCAGCCTAGCTTTTGCTAGTTTCTTGGCTTCAGCTGCTGACGATGGTCATAACCTGTCGCATCCCTGCTGCTCTCACGGCATCCGTCCTGTCTCGGCTCATAACTATTACCCATCGGGCGGCGATGAGCGGCCTCGTCTGTCAGCGGCAGCAGTAGTGCCTCTGTCGCAACCGGCTGATCTGTCCTGGAGTTTCAAAACGAATACGTCTATGAATTATCAGATACATCATAAGGTATGGAGAAACTATATATAAATATTGAAAGATCACATTGCAAGTTTTAGTGGACAGGTTTCAGTGGAAGCATTTGAGGTTCATTGTTCATCAATATACATGTTATCAAGAAGCTAATATAAAGTACCTAGAGTGTACAACGGGAAAAACGCGGGAAAATAGTGCTTATTTCACAGTACATGATTATTCTATCTTTGGCCTGCGAGTCTAGAATAATTTTATGGGTATTGCATTAAGCAGAAATTCTTTGCTCTCTAAGAACAAGACCAACCCCGGCGCTTGTCAATACAATACTCTAAGACTTGAGATATTGGCTCCTAAACCTCCCCTCCACATGCCTCACCACGGCCTGGCATCCACTTATTCAGTAACTCTAAACGCCTCTTAAGGTTGCTGTCGTGAGAGTTCGGTTTTTTCCAACCATAATTTTTATGAATGATTTGTCGGCGTGGCAGGTGACGGGTGGAGGTGCTTTCGGGGCATCGCCTATGCCCTATATCTCGCCCATTATCTTTCCTAGCACGGAATTAGCCCGTCATGATTGGAGCCGGCAATGTTTTTTTGAATTAAACGTCTCTACAAAACCGCAAGCTAGTAAGCTACCAAATTTGGGCAATGTTGACATCAATTATGCAGCGCTTCCAAGCGGTGACGGAAACGATAGCCCGAAATGCTAGAACGCGTGAAGGATGCTGACAGAAGTGGATTCGAAGGCGGCGTTTGCGCCATGATGTGGGAGGGGAGGTTTAGGAGGCCGATATCTCCGCCTAGGAGTAATCGGTATTGACAAGCGGTTGGTCATGTTTTAGACGAGACAAAGAAATTCTGCTTAATGCATACCATGAAATTAATTATAGACTCGCAGCAAAGTGAGAATAATGTGTGTCCGTGAAATAGCAACTATATTTCCCGTTTTTCCGTTGTACACCTAGTATTATTAGCTCTGATGTTATCTGTTAAAGGGATTACTGGTCTCCTGTGATTATTACCTGTGATTTGAGAAGATCTTACCCCTGGTCCTGTGCTCGTTAACCTGTAAGACATCACACCTGGTCTCTTTGATCGTTATCTGTGCATACATCTTACCTGTCTCTAATGTGTCGTATTATCCTGTGACACATCTTACCTGGTCTTTTTGATTGTTTATCTGTGATAACATTGCTTACCGTGGTCTCTGTGTGTAATTACCTGTGACACATGCTGTAACCTGGTGCTTTTGTGCTGTTTCCTGTAAAACAGCTTACCTGGTCTCGGTGTTTCGTTATCGGATTGCGCCGCGGCCTAGATGATTCAATTCTTCATACTCTTGTCGTGTGAAGACTCCGGGCGTGCAACCCGTCCTTTCACGTGCTTTCCTGAGAGAAGGGCTGGGATCCGTGTATCGCTAGTCAGCCTGTGAGCTTGCACAACGTACGGTTTTCTGCAGCATGCAAACAGTCCGGGGGTGAGCATTCCAACTATTGTTCGGACGCAGCGGTTTCACAACAAGGAAGCTACGCAAAAATACCACCGCGAATGAAAGCGTACGCATAAACAAATTTACATTTGACATGCTGTTTTTCTATGGACTTTTATGGCATAGAGTGAACGCAATTGATTCTCTAATTTCAACAAGCAAGCCTACACAAAATACGCAGACAAAATGTAGAGAACGCAGAACGAATAGCAGCTTTCATTTTCTAGGGACTTCATTTAGAAGGAATCATTCTTCTTCTTGGAGACCTTGAGGCTTTCACCCACCGTGCCAGGTCCTGTGTGCTGCAGTGGCTAGGTCGAGTGTCGTGTAGTAACCAGAGAAGAAGAACATGAAGAAGAAGAAGAAGAAGAAGCAGAAGAAGAAGAAGTAGAAAGAGAATAACGAGAAGGAAGAGAAGAAGAAGAAGAACAACAACAACAAGAAGAACAACATCAACAACAACAAGAAAGAGAAGAACAACAAGAAGAAGACGAAAAAAGAGAAGAACAAGAAGAAGAAAGAAAGACAAGTAGCAGAAGAAGAAGAGGAAAGAGAAGAGTAAGAAGACGAAGAGGAAAGAGAAGAGTAAGAAGAAGAAACAAAAAAACAAGAAAAAGAAGATGAAGAAGATTCTCTATAGAGACACTTACGGCGTTAGAGTGCGTTCGGTTTTGATGCTTGGCGCGGTCGGACGCATTGCTGAACGACTTTGTGCAGCCAGGGAATTCGCAGGTGTACGGTCGCTCGCCCGTGTGAGAGCGCAGATGTGTCTTCAGGTTCTCCAGCCTCGAATATGCCTTAGAGCATCCCTCAAACTACAACAACACAGGGCGGCATGTTGGCAAGGCTTGCAGCATCCCTCAAATTTATTACAACACAGGGCAATATGTTGGTTGAACTTGAAGCACCCTCAAATTTATTACAACACAGGGCAATATGTTGGTTGAACTTGAAGCACCCTCAAACTACAACACAGCCCAACATGTTGGTCAGGATTAACCAATTCATAAAACTACAAGACAGCGCAACATGTTAAGGCATAACCAATTCATAAAACTACAAGACGGGGCAACATGTTGGTAAGGCTTAACGCATCCCTCAAGCTACAACACAGTGTAATATAGTGGTAAGGCTTGAAGGAGCATTCTTCAAACTACAACACAGGTTAACAGATACGGGTGTGTGGTTGAGGAATGTGAGGATGTGTAGTAAAAAGTAGGTATATGGTAAAGGAAACTATGGTGCGTGTCGGAGAAGAATAAGGGTCTATGAATGATATGGAAGAGGGTAAGCAGAGGGTCAGAGGTGGGAGTCTGGTCAAGGAAGAGAGGTGGGTGTCTGGATGAGAGGGAGTGTGTGGAGAGGGGAGTGTGTGGAAAGCAGGGCGCAGGTGTGTCGCCGAGGAGGCGGAGCTGTTGTGGAGGAGGGGGAGTGGCTGCTGCGCAGGAGGCGGGGAGTTCGTGGGAGGAGAGGGGAGTGTGTGGAGGAGCGGCGGAGTGCTGTGGAGCGCAGGAGCGAGTGCTGTGGACGCGAGGACGGGGAGTTCTGTGGCAGGAGAGGCCGGCGAGTGTGTGCGCAGGAGGGCGAGCTGCTGCTTGAGCGAGCGGGCGAGCTGCCCTGCTGGAGGAGGCGCGGAGTGTGCTGCGAGCCGATGCTCTCGCCGGCAGTCGTGTGAGAGGCAGGAGGACGGTGTGTGCCGAGCGAGGGAGAGTGTGTGGCAGGAGGCGCGGACGTGTGTGCGACGGCAGCAGGGCCGTGGTGTGGAGGGCGGCTGTGCTGCGATGGAGGCGGGAGTGTGTCGGAGGCGCAGGCAGGCCAAGCTGTGCTGGAGGAGCGCAGAGTGTGTGGAAGGCAGCCGGCAGCTGTGTGGAAGAGAGCGGCGGTGTGGCAGGCGGGAGTCGTGTGCGAGGCAGGGGGCAGCTGCCTGTTTGGATGGGAGAGGTGTGGAGGAGCGCCGGAGCGGCTGAGTCGTGGAGGAGGGAGATGGAGGAGCGCAGTCCGTATCCCTCACGTGCACTTGTGCGGCTTCTCGCCCGTATGCCTCCTCATGCTGAACCACGAGCATGTACTGCGCCTTGAAGGGCTATCTCCTTCGCGCGAACACTGCCTGGCCACCTGCCACACAAACGACTTCTTGTTCCGTCGCTATGTGCGTCCGTTGTGATGTGCTGCACAGACAGACCCGAGGGCGAAAATCCGTACATGGACAAGCCGCAGGAAGATGAAATTAAGATCATAAAGATAAGATGAGATATGGACAGCATGGCCACAGCTCGCTCAAGGCTCATTCAATGCGCTGCGTGCGTCCGTGCCTGCGTGACTGATGGTGTGTTGTGTGTGTGTGTGTGTGTTGTGTGGTGTGTGCCGCGTGCGTGTAGATGTGTGTGTGGCGTGCTGTGGTGTGTGTCGTGCTGTGTGTGTGTGTGTGGTGTGTGTGTGTGTGTGTGTATGTGTGTGTGTGTGTGTGTGTGTGTGTGCGTGTGTATGCTGTGTGTGCTGTGTGTTGTGATGTTGTGCTTGTGTGTGTAGCTGTGTGGTTGTGTGCTCGGCTGTGCCCGCGCGGCGGCAGTGCGTGTATTGTGTTGTGTGTGTGTGTGTGTAATATAAATTATACGCTCATAAATAACGTAACTGCGCACGTCACGTTGCCACGAGCAGTAAACTACAGCAATCAAAAAAATGCTAAACCAAACGCAGTAAGACGTGACCCAGATACACCATCTCTGTTTGTCATGGCAACCCGCGCGCGCGGCCGTGCAATTAAGCAGCAAGCTCATCTTCCCAGGCGGCAACGTGACACGCGTGGCGTCTGCGCGCGAGCGCTCTGCTCATCGTAGTCAGCAGCACGCCGCCCAGTTTTTTTCGCGTTGTCACGGCACACGCCGGCCCCCGCCGTCGCCACGAGCTTGCATGTGCATTAGCAATTTTTAGCATATTATACAACGTCGCTCAGGCCGCGCGCGACCAGCGCCGTAACCAGCTTCGACATCACATCAACATCCCTGCGGAATTCGCGAGCCCGGCCGGCCGCTAAGGCAGCAAATGATTGAATCAGTAGTATGTGTGTGTTGTCGCTGTGTGCGTTGTGTGGTGTGGTGTGCTGTGTGTGTGTGTGTGTGTGTGTGTGTGTGTGTGTGTGTGTGTGTTGGTGTGTGGTGTTGTGTGTACTATATATATTATATATATACTATATATATATATAATATAGTGTGTGTGTGCTGTGTGCCGGGTGCGTGCGGTGTGTGTGTGTGTGTGTGCTGTGTGATCGTGTGTGCTGATGTGTGCTTGTGTGCTGTTGTGTGTGTGTGTGTGTGTGTGTGCTGTGCTGTGTGTGTGTGCGTTTGCGGTGTGCGCTTGTGGCGCTGTGCGTGTGCGTCGTGCGGTGTGTGCGTGTGCTGGGTGTGTGTGTGTGTGTGTGTGTGTAGTGTGGTGTGTGTGCTGTGTGTGTGTGTGCCTGTGTGTGTGCATGGTCGCTGCTGCATCGTGCTTGCGGTGGTGTCGCTGCGTGTGCGCGCGCGCGCTGTGGCGTGTGTGGTGCTGGTGTTAATGCGTGTGTCTGTCGTATGTGTGTGTGTGTGTGTTGTGTGTGGTGTGTTACCGTGCTGTGTGTTAGTGTGTCATGTGTCTGTGTTGTCGCGAGTGTGTGTACGCTCGCCGAGTGCTGTGCTGTGTGTCGTGCTGAGGTGTGCTGCTGTGTATATATATATATATATATATGTGTGGTGGTGTGTGTGTGTGTGTGTGTGTGTGTGTGTGTGTGTGTGTGTGTGTGTGTGTGCGTGCGTGCGTGCGTGCGTGCGGGGAGGGAGGCGGGTATCGCCGTAGGACGGGCTCCCGATTGAGTGGTTAGCGTCTGAGGTCTGTTTTCGATTAGACGCTTTTTTGCGGCATCAGCCGCAGCAGTTACTTAAGCAATTAGCGTGACTGATGATGATGTCATCTGGTCATGTGAATGATGATGTCATCTGGTCATGTGACTGATGATGGTGGTGTCGGCGGCGTGTCATCAGGGCGCGTGCGAGCGGTCGCTTTGGTGGAGGTGGAGGTGCGCGGAGGGCTATATAGACGCCGACACAAGCCCGAACGCACGCACACATGCACGCACATGCACGCACACACACACACAAGCATGCTCGCGCGCGCGCACACACACACATACACACACACGCACGCTCGCACGCACGCCCACGCACGCGCTCTCGCACTCACTCACACGCACACCCATACACGCACTCGCACGCACGCACTCACACGCACACACAAACACGCACTCGCCCGCACGCGCACGCACTCACACGCACACACATACATAGAAGTCTAACAGAAAAAGATGCATGTGTAGAGACACTAGCGTAGTCACGAATTCAGACATACAGACAGACACCGACAAAGAATACAGAATATTGGAAGACCCGACTGCTTCGCAAGTTCAGGAAAGCACGCACAAGCAAGCCACGTCACACACACCATCACTTACCATCCATCCTGGCAATAAGCAGCTTGCAAAAGTCAAAAAGGATATATTCGCGCGGCTACATTGCATATACTGCATATATAAGCATATCATATCATATATATATATAATGATTTGCATATATAAGCATATCATATATATATATCAGGGGTTAATAATGACAAATTTGTCATTATTGTAAAATTTGTCAATTTGTCATTATTAACCCCTGATATATATATAATATATATATATATATATATATTCCACTCACACTAACATATATTGCATATATAAGGACATATAGCAGGCTAGGTACACGCGCAGAGAAACCAAGCAGGGTTGTAATGCTATGCCCCTGCGATGTAACTGACAGCGAAGGATTCGACAGACGCCACAGCATCCTCTTCATGGCAAACGCCGTCGACGAGTTTACAGACGAGATAACCAACCGAAGCCCACCTCACAGGTGAGTTAACGAGCGAAGCCCACCTCACAGGTGAGTAAACGAGCAAAGCCCACCTCACAGGTGAGTTAACGAGTGAAGCCCACCTCACAGGTGAGTTAACGAGCGAAGCCCACCTCACAGGTGAGCTAACGAGCAAAGCCCACCTCACAGGTGAGCTAACGAGCGAAGCCCACCTCACAGGTGAACTGTAATCGCACGGAACCACCTCACAGGTGAGTTAACGACCGAGCGGAGGTGCGCTAACGAGGTGCGGTGGTTACCTTTACGAGTTCCTCCTGCGTGTTGAACTCGTGGCTGCAGCCGGTCCAGTGACAGTTCGTCTCGTAAAAGTCGTCCGGCTCGTTCTTTGGTGACGGGTCAACCCCTGAGGCTGTTGGGAGAGGAAACAAGATGTTCAGTGAGAGTGGCTGGTGCTCTCAACAAGCGCGTGCTGGGAGCGGGGGTAGGGAGGTATGGATTTGTGAGGTGTGGGGGGGAGGAGGGGGAGGAAAGAGGTGGCGTTGTGAGGATAAGGTGGGGAGAGGAAGGTTTTGTGAGGAGTGAAGTGGGAAGGGATGGGGCGTGGAGGAGGAGAGAGAAGGAGGGGAGGATGAGAGAGGAGGAGGAGAGAGGAGAGAGGAGAAGGGGGGCCAGGCACGAGCAGCACCGCGCACGCGACGCGCAGAGAGGAGAGAGCGAGGAGGAGGAGACGGAAGGGAGGACAAGCACACGCACGGAGAGGGGAGGGAGAAGAAGGGATGGGGTGGTTAGGATGATGAAAGAGGTGGGGATGTGGTGGATTTGTCAGCACCGCGCTATCAGTCAGCGCTTAGGCATGAGCACGGTTAAACTCCTGAGGCTGCAGTCAAAGGCAAACAGTGCAACAGTGAGAGCGCTGGAGAAGGGAAGGGATGGGGTGGGGAGAGAACGGGAGGGTGGTGACAGAAATGGAGGACATAATGATTGGGTGTAGAGGATGAAGGAGTGGGTGGGGTTGTGAGAAGTGAAGGTAGGGGGGGGCACGAGGAGTGTGCTGGCAGAGAAGATTGGCGACAGATAGGGCAGGGGTAAAAAGTTCACACACCTTTGAACAAGGGAGTCCAACGACTCCCTACCCTCAAAAAGAGGGCACCACGATCAAGACCACAAATGAGTCCCGCAAGTCTTGAGAGTTAAAATTAAGATATTAACAATACACGGCATCGTGGCTTATTTTTAAGATTCATAGCGGTTGCACCATCTGCCAAATTTTTCTTTAAGAGACACTTTCGGATGCAAAACAATTACGGTAAATTCCACGAGGACACCGTGCCTCCCGGAAGCGAAAAAACCATAAGTCTAGATAAATGCCAGAATTTCAAATGAAAGTCACCCACGGAACTCCTGCATATGTAAATAGGGAGTCCGAACGTAAACAGGGAGTATTTTGACTCCGGACCCCCGATTTAAATTCGGCACCCTGGATAGTGTGTATGAAGGTAAACTTGTCTTTGGGTGATGGTCCCTGAGGCTGGGGAATGGGGTCTAACCCAGAGCAGATGGGGTACAAGACAAGAAGGATTAGGCTAAGCATTACATCAGATAATATCCACAGCGACATACAATCGTAGTTAGAGCATGGGGTAGCATGGGGGGGGTGCGCGCCATTAGCAGTGTGTGGTGTGTTTGTGTGGTGTGTGTGTGTGTGTGACGTGTGTGTGTGTGTGTGTGTGTGTGTGTGTGTGTGTGTGTGTGCTGGTGGTGTGTGTGTGTGTGTGTGTACGTTGTGTGTGTGTGTGTGTTGTGTGTGTGTGTGTGTGTGTATGTGTGTGTGTGTGTGTGTGTGTGTGTGTGTGCGTGTGCGTGTGCGTGGTGTCTGTGCGTGTGCGTGTGCGTGTGTGTGCTGTGTGTGGGTGTGTGTGTGTGTGTGTGTGTGTGAGGCATTGTGTGGTGTGTGTGTGTGTGTGTGAGCGTGTTTTGTGTGTGTGCGTGTGCGTGTGTGTGTGCGTGCGTGCGCGCGCAGTGTGTGTGTGTGTGTTGTGTTGTGTGTGTGGTGTGTGTGTGTGTGTGTGTGTGTGTGTATGTTTGTGTGTGGTGGGTGTTGTGTGGTGTGTGTGTCGTGTGTGTGTGTGGTGTGTGTGCGTGTTTGTGTGGTGTGTGTGTGTGTGGTGCGCAAGTGTGTGGCGTGTGTGTGTGTGTGGTGTAGTGTGTGTGTGTGTGTGTTTGTATGTGTTGTGTGTGTGTGTGGGCGTGTGTGGCGTGTGCGTGTGGCGTATGCGTGCGCGTGCGCGTGTGTGTGAGCGTGTGCGTGTGCATGCGTGCGTGCGTGTCTGTGGCTGCATACCTGGTGAGGGTTTCTGACTGCTGTCGTCCCTGGACTCTGACTTGCTGCTTGGCTCCCTCTTCACTTGGAACAACTCTCCCGAACTCGAGTCTTTGGTTAACTGCGAAGAAAAAGTCCATGAATACCACGTACTAAATATTTAAACCGAAATTTCATTTAAATGAATTTTGAATTGAATATTACACAAGGCATTATAATAAAGTGTACTGAATACAAAATAAAATACGATGAAATTTAACGTAAGTTTCGCGACCGTGACAAGACCGTAAAAAACGCTACGCTAACAAAAAAGAAGCTCGGACACGTGGCGCCACCTGTGATTGTGCTTTCGACGCTCCCAGAGGCTGGACGCTGGGATGCTGCGACGACGAATGCCGCAGCTCCGACATGCCGAGCGACGGCGGCCTCGGAATGCCCGCCACCTGGTGGCCGAGCATGGAACCGTGCGAGAGGAAGGGCGACCCCTGCAGGCTGCTCTGGCGCATGTAGTGTTGCAGGTGCTGGTAGTGCAGCGGGTGAAGGTTCATCGAGGGACTGATCGCACCTGTTGCCGCGGACAACGAACAAGAGCACGTCAGAACATGTCGCTATTCCGTGCGGTCAAGGTCAGGCCTCGAATTTCATCAGTTTTAGCAAAGAGCTTATAATGATAATTAATTATATCCTAATTAATCATCATTATATCATTATTAATCATAATTATAGTAATCATTGTAAGCTCTTTGGTTTTAGAGCAGGGCCACTTTGGCCTCGACTCTCAACATTTTTGAGGGCACCAATGCCTAAATGAAATATATAGAAGGGCATCCAAGGCCACCTCTCATGGTTCACGGGAAAAAAATTTCCCATCACCTACCTAAACCACTCTTAGTGTTTAATTAAATCACCTCTTAATAAACAAAACAAAACAAAACATTGATTGATTGATTGATTGATTGATTGATTGATTGATTGATT